AATATAATTAAAATCTTTTATAAAATAGAACTGAAGTAATACTTTTTAGTTAATATTTTTATTATATATAATTTTAATTTTCACCTTAAAATAAATATCAAAATTTATACTTAAATATAATTTTTTAATTTTAAATATTTTATGAAAAATTACTTTTAAAATTAATTCTAGAATAGCATAAAATATTAATATATAATTTAAGTTTATAAAGTCATTTCTCAAACATATTTAATACTTTGTATCTTTTAATTTTTTTACTTATTTAAAGATAAGTTATATAATATAATTTTTTATATATTAGAATTGATTAAAATCAGATTTAAAAGACTAAATGATTAATGTAATTTTTGATAATTAAAAGTTATAAATATAGTAAGTAATATATTAAAATATTAAATAATAGAAAATGAGTTTAGATAATCGAGAATCTAGAATTAATACTATTGATATAAAGTAAAACTTTATTGAGATTATAATTAGATGACATTTTGATTATTCTTTTAGATTTTTACTTTAAAATCTTTCTTATTATCTATTTAAATTATATCATGAATCTTATGATAATATTAATAAAATCTAAAATTGTTTATATTATTTAAAAATAGTTTAATAAATATCATTAAATATAGATTGTATAAGTATATTTGATATAAAAAAATATAAAATTAGTGAAAAATTATATAAAAAAATTTTAGAAATAAGTTTTTAAGAACTCTTACTATATATAATTTAAATATAAATAATGTTATTTTTAATAAGATAATAACTCAAAAAGTATAGTAAAAAAAGATAAATAAGAATATTAAGAATTTAAATTGATTATTATTTGTGATATCTTTCTGATAATATTAATAATACATAAAATTTGTAAAGATACAATTAATATAAAATTAAAATAATATTAACTATTAATTAATATAATATTATAATAAAGAATTAAAATTATATTTAAGGTTAGTGGAGAATATATAAGATAGTTATAAATTTATTAAAGTATAGTTTATTAAAAAGCAATTGAAAATTTATATTTGATTTTATTTTTATGTTCTAAAAATATTATACTAAAAAGAATTTGATGAAAGCCATATAATATATAATATAAAATTAATATTTATAAATAAATATGTTAAGTTTAAAAGATTAAAAAACCTGAATTAGTCAATTATAACTTGTTATATAAAAATATACAAGTATTTCTTAAAATCTTTGTTATACTCGTCTATGATATGGACACAAAAGTAAAAAAATATAGTGTTGTATGTTCCGCCAAAAAATTTAATGTCTTGGATATATTCCGTACATGTTCCGTTCCGTCCCAAATGACAACATTGCCTAAAACGAACTATCTCCCAATTGTTTTTTTATTACCTAGTTAGGTTCTTTTTGTTCTTTACAACCAAAAGACCATAACCAATTGTTCTTTTTGGGCTGTTTGGGGGGCTTATTAATCTTTAATTGGTGGATCAGAAAACATCTCTTAATACACGTGATTGAAATTTTTTTTCTTGAGAGTCAATTATAAAAAAAACCAACAGGTTTTTCCTTATTCGTTCCGCTAAAAAAAAAAAAATTTTTTTTTTTTTGCATAGTAGTTCGTTTACGGGTTTTAACAATTCAAGACGAAAACTATTTTATATATCAAAAATGCCCAACGCAACACCCACGTCTTCTCGTAAGAAAGATAAAAGAAAGTCTTTAGAAGTTACTACTGAAAAAGATTTCTCTCTTGTACGTCAAGAAACGCTCTCTCCAATTACGCCGGCCGGTGAATCGAGCCTTGAGAACAAAAACCCATATATTGACGTGCTTACTAAAAGAGTTAAAAAATTGAGAAAAGCCATGGTATGAAAACGTTTGTTATTCACATAAAACGTTACTTTAATATATATATGATCAACAAAGCTTGAGATGGTGAATTATAGAAGTTAGAAGAACTTTGATACTTTATTTTACTATACTTGAATTTCTTTGAACATATATCCAGTCCAGTTTACTATAAGGCCGTATTATGCTATCTAGTTCTAGTAGATAACGCGAAACAATGTGGAACGTAATTGCAAACTACCTACAATTAACGGTTGTTCTATTTTAAATTTTCAATTAAACGATTAGACGAGAATTGAAAAATATGAAAGCATAAAAAATACTCCAGATGGCATAAATAATTTGAATGCTGATCAAATTAATTTACTTGAGAGAAAGGGTGAAACTAGTGGTGCTATCAAAGAATTTGACGAAGCACTCAAGCAAATAGAAAGTGTTGAAAAAGAAGTATGTATGGATGAAATCGTTTCTATCTATTAAATCGTATTAATTTTTTTTGTTACATCACAGGAACTTAAGAAACAAGTTGAACAAAAAAAGGCACAGCAATCGGAGCGCGATCAAGCCATTGCCAATGCTGTTGAAGAAGCAACGGTATGAATACATTTTCGTTTTTTCCCCAAAGAAAATACTGATTTATTTTTTTTTGGGGTATTATTACTAGGCTGCGCATTGTAAATCCTTACTACGACTCATCCAATTTTTCAACCTTATTCACTTACAACATCGTGGTTTCATTAAATTGTCAGAAATTGAATTCGAGGGCGTTGAATTTCTTCGTTCTAAACTTATATCTTTGACTGATGATGCAAAGAACGAAGAACTTTATGAAGGAAAAATTCGAGAGGTCTTGGATCTTGTCAACAAATTACAATTAGGTGATGAGAGCTTGATTACAAAATCATTACTAAATGGTGTTATTGAATCAGAAGAAACTGCAGCGAATAATGAATCTTCCACCCATGGTTTATCATGTATCTTTTTTTTTTTTTTTTATTTTATTTTATAAAATTACATTTAGATAATTCAAAATATTCATTTAAATATTTCATTCTTAATTAAATACAGATTCTAAATTACTTGCATTGACTCAAAGCCCACCGATACTAGAATCTCCTGAAGATCCGCAGGTTGAACAGGAAGAAATACAAGAGGCATTTGAAGAAGTTCCTGCTCCCCATCCTATCCTTCAATCTGATGATTCTACCAATGGTATGAATTCGTTCAGATAAAATAATTAATTAGTCTGTACTATATTTATGGTAATGTATATGGATAATTAATTACATCTTTCTAATTATTATCATCATAGTGACTATACCAGCAGGTGGATTGCAATTTATGTATAATCCTGGTAATTATACATTTAATTTTACGAAACGTTTTACTTCGGTTATATTTGTTAATATCATTTTAAATCTTATAGATGATCAATCACAACCTCTAGAAAGCACAATCAATAATACTACATACACTTATCAGAGTACAGATGCAGAACAAATTCCAGTAGCTCCATCTACTAGTGATGTAATGGCAGATGAACAATATCATCAGCAACAGCAGAATTATGATACATCTACGGTGGAACAACCATACATAGGGGAACAACAACATTTTGTCGTAGAACAAAATGATCAACAGCAGGTTTCTACGGAACATGACGAATCATCTCAACAAGAGGAGCCATCACTTTATGCACAAGAACAACAAACTGTTTCAGAAGATCTAGCGGATTCAAAACAACAACCACAGCCAATTCAACAGGACAATGACCAACCACCACCGTTATCACAAGGTTCTAGTGGATTCAGAGGTAGAGCACCTCATCGCAATAATCGTGGATTTAGAGGGGTTCGAAGAGACTCAGGTGGTTATAGAGACAATAATTATCGTGATGGTGGTTATCGAGATGGTCGCGATGGTGGTGGTTATCGTGAAAATTACCGTGATGGCGGATACCGAGAAGGTGGATATCGTGATGGATATCGTGATGGAGGAGGCTTCCGTGGACGTGGTACAGGTCCCCGCGGTAGTGGGAGAGGTGCTTACTCAGGTTTGTTCAAAGAATTAATTTCGGAAAGTTATAGAATATTAGCTAATTTGTTTTTCATTTAATTATAGGAGGAAACCGTGGAGGTCAGTTTAGACAACGTTCTCAATAAGGGAACAAAAAAATTATTTTGTACATACTTTTGAAAGATCAGGATCTTTCATCGATGTTTGGAGATTTGCAACTCATTATTTTAAACAAAGAAAAGCAAACGAACAATTTTTTCTACGAAAATCGTAAACTCTAAATTTAGAGTGAAGGTTTTCTTTTTTTATTAATGTAAAAAAAAAAAAAAAAAAGATCGGTTAATAATATAATTGTCGATTGAAATTTTTTTTCTCTTTTCGTTTTTTTTTAATAATGTGTGAGCAATTCTATTAACATTTAGTAAAAAGTAGATCTCTTTTAAATTTCTACTACTTTGAACAACTATTGTAATGTAATAAAAAAGAACCATCTTTTGTATTATTAACTTATACAAGTTAATAATATAACTCAAATCTTTGTTTATAAATTAAATTTTAAAATTAAAATAAAATTCACATGTTGGAATTTTATTATAAATTAAGAGAAAAAATAATATACACTGATCTAATACAAAGCTTAACCAAACAAAAAAAAATATAATAAAAAAACCCCCCAACAAATTCAGAATCCAATGTTCGAAATTGTAGAATTAATATGCGCAAGCGCACAAAAGTTATTATGTCGAACACAGAAAATAAATTAATTTACTATAATTACCAAAGCCATATTACTTCATTTTTTTTATAATGTCATCTAGAAATAATTATTTTAATTCTATAAACTAAGAAATTATGCAATTATTTTTTTTATCTTTTCTCTTTTCTTTTTCAGATGACGTGGTAGTAAAAGAACTGCCAGTTGAAGTTTGCGGATTAGATTCATAAGGTAAAATATGATTTTTCTTTTGTTGTTGTTTTCTTTGCGCTTCTTCTTGATTACGTTTACGTTGTAGTTCTTGTTGACGTCGATACTCAGCTTCTTGTTCTTCTTCTTGTTGTTGAAGACTCAAAGCCAACGCATAACTATAATAATATGCGAGAAAAATATTAAATTAAACACGGAATATTTAAAAGGAAACAAAATAGTAAAAAAATTTCACTTACTCTTGGTCGCCACCTCCCATTAAATCATTGTGTTCTTCTATTACGTCTACATAATCACCACCTGTAGCTTCACCTTTTTGAAATTGTCCATTTACAAATTCTGAAGCATTTTGATCAACATCGATAAGAGATTCCCATACTACAGATCTTTCATGAACAAATCCTGCATCAGTGACTAAAATATATAATGTAGAGGTTTTTGGATGTTTATAAAGCGTTGAGAACTTTTGTAATAATATAATAAATAGAAATCGAGAAATTTTAGTATTACGGATGAAATTAATCATTAATAAAAGTAAAAAATAATAGATATATTTTTTTCAGTTAACTAAGGTAAAAAGTTTACCCACTCTAGCAGCATGCACGTTATCACAAACTCACATGATTATTCCGGAAAAAAACGCAAAGGTTTCCTGGCGGTAAAGTTTCGGACAATGTTAACAAACCATGATATGTGAGTTGTGTCGCAGTAGATTCCAAAAATGAAGAAGTAATCAGAGCTAAGATTATGTTTAAAATACAAAAATGGTGAAAAATCCCGAAAAAGAAAATTAAATAATATAATTAAATATAAAGAAAATAAAAAAATCCAGCATACCATCACGCACTCTAACGCTATCCTCATCATTTAGAGTTCCTTGCGAATCCTCAAAACCGTTGTTTGAAGCTTTATTAGAACTTTCAACCACAATACCTTTGCTCACAGAATCACCTCCGACAACACATTCTACTGCTCTATTATAACTACTACATTTTCCAACCACTACTTTCCAAGTATCCTCATCCTGTGGGTCAACTACCCATCCATGAACAAGATCTACATGGAAAACATCAAAAACAGATAATTCCGCAGTAGGTTCAAAGCCGTGAATTGAGTTGAATCGAACATTTACATCTAACCCAGTTTGTAATGATGGAATGATAGATAGAGCAGCGTTGAGTGTATGATGATAATCTTGCAAAGATGGCCTTGTTAAATCGAAATCACCATTAGTTTGGTGATTCCCTTTATCCGTCACACCATCTTCTAAAGCAATACATTGAACTTTATTTGTTATATCTTCAATCCCATTTGTATTATTTTTTGGTTGTGATTCTCTTTCTTTTTCCTCTTGTTTTGGGGATAATGTCCCGTTTGTCACTTGTAATCTTTTCTGAATCTTGAAATAATTAATTACTTAAAAAAGTCAATAATAAAACTAGATAATACAACAAAGCATTCAAATGATTAAATAATTTGATACGTACCTCAGCTTCTCCTTGTGGAATTGATTTCAGTAAATAATCTCCTAATAATTCTACGAGAAAATCGTAAGTAACAGTTGGACGATCATATGGTTTTATTTCAATATCTCCTCGCAAAAGCAATACATTACCTATAAATCAAAGAGAAAATATTAACTATCAAAATTTTACAAGACGATGTGTAAATTGATACATACAAAGTGCTAATAAAGGGCAAGGTCCATTCTCTATATATAAAAGATTCCAGGTTAATAACGAAAAAGAAAGTTCATAAAATTATATAAAGATCATACCATTTTGTGTGATAACTTTTAGTTTTCGAACTTTTCCCGAAGGTTCAATCCACTCGATAGCCTTAAGTTGATATTCGACCGCTACTTGGTTAGCTGGTTTAGGCTTTTCTACAACAATATCTTCTTCGACGGCTTTACCTTTACCTTTAGTCAGTGGAATTTCAGTAGAGGTAGAATTTTCGATCCCGGTCATATTTCACAAAAGTGTACAAAAGAGAATTTTAATGTGTTCCAGGAAAAGTTTGTGCTGGTATCAGATCTGATATTTCTCTCAATTATTCTGAGATAGGTTACACCTTTGTGTATCCAGGAAAATCTATAAAATCCGGTGGCTAATCACATTTTCCGATCATTTCCTTTTTATCAAGAAGCAACATTTTGCCGAAAACAATTTATTTGGTAATTTTAATTTAAATACATTTATTACTTATATAAAAAAGTAATAATTATTAATTTTTATTCAAATAAAATTTTTATTAAAAACTATTTCTAGAAATAACTTTAATCACATTTAAATTTATTCATAAAATCATATGTATAGATTACTTACATTATCATCATTATTTCCAAATAAAGAGATTTCATTTTCTTTTAAAGGTACAAATAACCTTTTATTTAAATTTTTAATATTTCTTTCTATTTCAAATTAAAATAATAAGAATATTATTAGATAGGATATGTTTCCAAATTTGGGATTGTAAAAACTCTAAAAATACGATAAAATTTTCATAATTCAATGTTACACAAGATTTGCCCTTTTGGAATTGAGATTGACACGTTGCATTTTCACAATTTTTATGTAACAAATCTAGTTTACACACTTTTTATTATTTTAACACAAATTTAATCAAGTTCTTTTCTTGCTAAAAATCAATTTATTAATAGGGATTAGCGTCCCTAGTTCAGTTGGTAACAACTGAGCTCCTATTGTGGGTTATACTGCAATAGCCACAGGTTCAAGCCTAAGCTGAGGTATAAAATTAGATGATTTTTGTAAGAATTTCATATGTAACTGAATATGTGGGCGTATATACTAATATGCGTTAGAAACTGGTCGATCGACCTGTCGATCGGTGTTAATCATGCCTAAATACTGAATTTTCAAGAATAAGTGGATGTAAATGAAGCCAGGGATCGACAGAAACTTGGCCTTCGCTGATAGGCCTGTAATGGATACTGTCTCACGTCTTCAAATTCAGGAGCCCTTACACTAGTAAGGAAGTGATTAACCAGTAATTAGTAGATTGGGTGACATCTCGAGAAACTCTCGAGGTGATTATGGTTGATAATAGACTGCATTGCACTGCCGCAGCAACCATCCAATCGAGCTATCACTTGGGGTAGAGGTCGAGTTTGATTCTTGGGTGAATTTGACGATATAGGTACGATAGCCACCTACCTTTCTGAGGTTCTATAAGCTAAACAATGTCTAAGCCTTCCCGATCATGTGTAAAAATACCCTGATACCGGGCAGAGGTAATAGTATCCAAATATGATGTTGGTAAAAACAAAGGAAAAACACGACACAAGTACCTTGTAGTTGAAAGTGATCCCTCTATTCAAATTTAACAGTGGTTCTGAGGTCTAAAGGCGTTGAGGGTACGCTCTCAGGGATGTCGACTTAGGTGGCAATCTTCAAACCAGTATATCAATGTGGATTAGGGCTGATATTAAAATGTCAATCAAGATCTTTCCAGAATTGAGTTGGCATATATAAGGTTTCATATGATTCCTTCGCCATAATGACCTCTCTGGTATTATCGAATACTGAAAAAGAAAAAAAAATAAAAATAAAAATCAATTTATTAATGTCATAATTATAATAGTTTTGAAGAATCTTCAATTGAAATTTTAAAATAAAAAATTTATGATGCAATAATTTTTAGCATTATATAAAATTCAAAATTATCATTTTAAATATATTTTCTTTTCTAAATAAAGTATAATACTACAGTTTTATATATAATGTTTAATATTTAGAATTATATAATTAATAAATAAAATTTAAGCTTAATATGTGTATCAAATTTTAAAATTTTAGCAATTTTTCTATATAAAATTCAAATATTATCAATATTTTATATATAATTTTATAGTATCAATAAATTTACATATTATTACTAAATTTTAGAGTTATATTCTTAACAGATAAAATTTAAAATTATATTATAATGATAATTATTATCATACTAATAATAAAATCTTAATGTAATATCTAGAGATGTTAAGTGATCCTAAGTGATCCTAAAAGTTCCAAGAAAATTACAAAGAATTATATTTACAAATTTATTATGAAACTTATTTATTATAATATTTTAATGAGCTACTAAATAAAAAATATATAATAAATTCTCTTGAAATTTTAGAATATCTTAAAATTTAAAATTTAAGAACTTAGGACTAGATTCTAAGAACCAGTCCTATACTTAATAATCCTATTAAAATTGTCAATTTTAAATATTATTTTTGCTTTTTACAAATTAATTATAAAATTTTTATGCCATTTTTTTGATGCAAGTTACTTATTATAGATAAGTGATTAAACTTCTTTAGGATTAGTAATCTCTTAAATTATAAAGATCAATTAAGGACCGTTTAACATCTCTAGTAATATTGATATATTAAAATTGATATTAATATTATTATTTATTAAATAAAAAGTTTAATAAATATTTTAATCTAAAAAATCTATTATATTAATATGTATTAATAGCTATATATCAATATTTAAATAATGATAATAATAATAATAAAGTAAAATTTTCTTTAAACAATTTTATTAGAAGTACCTGTATCTAATAATAAATTTGTAAAATATATCAGTATAAAATAATATTTAAAAAAATTAAATAAAAATTCATTAAAACCTTAATTTTATTATTTACTTTTATGATTATTATTTTAATATATTTGAATATATTATATATCTTAATTATTATTAAAATTATCAGAAAAAAATCAAATTTAAATAAATTTTAAGTAAAATTTTTTTGTTATTTATGATGTATCTATATTAATGATTATACTTAATATCTATACTTTCTATTTATTGCTATATTGTTTTATCTTTTAAATTACTGTATAGTCTTGAAAATAAGCATCCTGTAATATGTTCTTTTATAGTAATTTATTTATTTATCACATGAAATTTATTATATTATTAATCTTATATATACTAATTAATTTATATATATTATGTGATACTTATTTTCAAAACTATATGATATCATTAGTTTATTTTTTTATATTTTTTTATTTTAATATTCTAATAATAAAGATATTACCTTATATTATTATTATATTTTATTTATAATAATCTTATGTATTTCAAGAATCAATTATAAATATTTTGATATTAAATTATAATAAAATAAATTATACTAAGATTATAATATATAAATATTTTTTCTTATATATTTAAAAAAAGTTTATACATTTTTAAATTTTTTAAAAAAGTAAAAAGTAATTTATTAATTAACATTAATAATACAGTCAACCTCTTATATAGTTACTTTTTATATAATCACTTCTTCTTTATAAATATATTTTGTTAAGCTAAAGTTAATAATAAACTTATTTAAAATTCTCTTCTATAGTTATATTATATAATTTTTTTAGTTCTAAAAGATGTAACTAAATAAGAGGTCAATCATACTTTCTTTTATAATTATACAATTTATTTCTCTAATTATAACTAAATTTCTTATATATTTTAAATTAATAAATTTAATTATTCTCATTTTATTTGTATAAAACTTATTTGTAATTTTATTTTTTTAATATCTATTATCTTTTTCTTAATATTTTATTTATATACTTAACTTTAAATTTTTTAATGTTTTATCAAATATAATTAGTATCTAAAATAAGTAAAATTTATTAAATAAATATATTTAAGCAATTTCTAAAAATATTGTTATTAGGTTTATTTTTAATTATCTTAATGTTTAAATTAAAAAATTATGATAATTGATTCTATTTAGTAAAGTTTATGATTTGAGAATATTCTTTAAATCCTATCAGTATCTATTAAACTTCAATTAACTTAACAATTTATTACTTTTAAAATATAAGATTATTTGGTCAAACTTATAATAACAAACTTAAAATAAGTTAATATAAAGTATTATAATAAATCTTAAATGAGAAATAATGTTAAAGAAAAAGTAATTTATGTATATTTAAATTGATTTTTTATTAATAACTTGAAATTTGCATAAAAGAGGTATAATTTACAAAAGAATTAATTTATAACTTAAGTAAAAGTAAATACATTTTATGCTAAATTATTTAATATAATTAACTATTTTTAAATTATAAAATAATGAAAACTTATAAATTAAAATCTAATAAAGATATCACAAAAATTTAAAAATAATAAAATAATAATTATAATAATTATAATATACATAATAAATATTTTAAGAATTTAACAAATTAAACTAATTAAATAAATTAGGTGAATTATGTAAATTTTGTAAATTTTATAAATCAGATGAATTATTCTAATTTTTAATATAATATATTAATTGATTTTAATGATATAATACAAAATTTTAGAACTTATTTTTAACATTGACAATATAGATTATTTTTAATATATATTAAAAATGCATTACTGATTTGACATGATTTTTCTTTTAATATTTAAAAATAGAGATAAAAATATTATAAGATTTATCATTTATATTTTATAATTTTTCTTCAAATACTAATTTTATATTCTATCTAATAGTCAGCCAAATTTTGAGAATATTATTATCACAATTTTTATTATTTAATTTTATTATATATATACTTAAATATTACAATACTAATAATAATCTAAATTAATTCAAAAACTTAATAAATAAATTAATAATCTATAACCTTTTTTAATTTATTTAAAATCAAACTTTAAGTTTTATAGCTATATTAAAAATATTATAAAACTGAGAAAATATTTATTAATATAATATACATATCATGAAAAGTAGTAGTACTGAATACAAATTTTAAAATAATATTATCTTATAATTAAGAAGGTGTAGTGTCATATTAATTATTATTAGATTTATCATAACTAAGCTTATTTAATAATATGAAAATTATTATAGTAATAAGATAAATATTAAAAAAAATCTATTTTTAATTAAATTAGACATCCTTTTTTTTTTTGATCATTTTTATTAAATTTTTATATATATAAAAAAT